CATGACAATGTCAGAGAAACTCTTAGTGGCAACCCCTATCATGTAGTCGATATATGGAGACTTCAATGTATCGATGAATAGAGTGATGAACTCTTTTTTAGTCATTGGTGGAAGCACTTGAGATGCAATATCCCTCCATCGTTGTGCGTACTGTCGAAAGCTCTCATAATTCTTCATCCCCATATTCTGAAGCATTGTTCGATCGGGGGCCATATCAATCATGTGCTTGTATTGGCCCAGAAAAGCACTAGCCAAATCCCTCCAGGAGCGGACTTGAGAACGACTCAGTTGGTGGTACCACCTTGAAGCGGGTCCAATCAAACTGTCTTGAAAGCAGTGGATCAACATCTGATCATTGTTAGTGTATCCAGTCATCCTTCGAATAAACATCGTGAGGTGGGCATTGGGGCAACTGGTTCCCCTGTACTTTTCAAACTCGGGCATCTTGAATTTGGGCGGGAGTACCAAGTCGGGAACTAGTACTAGTTCTGTTGCATCCATCCCGTTGTGAGAGGTTTGTCCTCTCATTCCCTGAAATGTCTCTCTGCACCACTGTTTCAAATTCTCTGGGATCTCGTTCTTGGCTCTTCTCGTCGCTTGGTGACTAGGAATCCTGTTGGACGAGATAAGTGGTCGTGAATTAGCCTGTGCCTTCACACATTCAACTGTTTCACGGGTCAAGGAAATTTTCTCTCTACCTTTTCCTTGGTTAAGCTCAGCCATTTTTGCTACCATTTGGCCAACTATGTCCTTTTGGTTTTGCAAGATACGATCCACGGTGGTCTTTTGCATCTGTTCCATTTTAACCTCCCACTCAGCTTGCATCTTTTGTAAACTCTCTTCTAGCTCTTTCTTCAGTTGCTCGAATTTTGCATCCATTCTCAATACTGTGTGAATGCAGTTGCACAGTTAGAAGTGTTTCCTTAAAGTTTCCCGCAATGTATGATTAATGCATGTAACAATGCTTAAATGAATGTTGTGCAAAATGTAATGATGAAAATGCAGATGCAAAAATATTGATCCCAACGACGAATATTTTAGAACAATTTTCACCAGAGATAAAAGTTTTCACATTACAAGACAGTCCCCTTTACAGACTTGACTTCGCTTAGATGGTTGAGTCTGAAGTAGATCAATGCTTCGTCTCGGATCTTCGTCCTCGAAAATGATGCCCCTCATTGCTATGTAACCTAACTCGGTTGAGGCCCAGCGGTGTTGAAGTCATTACGCCACTCTTCAATGATTAGAGTTGGAATGATCGTAAAAGAGAATCCACTACAGGATTCTTCCTCAAATCAATGAATCGTCATTTCAGTATCGGCTATTGCACGATCATCGAGCAATTCTCATTTTAGCACCCTTAACTTCTTTAAGCCCTCGATGCATGTCTTTATATGTGACTGCTTGATTGAAAAACTTTTATCTCTTCTTGAGAAAATTTTCTCTCGAATATCCCCTTGCTGATCAACATTTTCGCAATATGTTATGATGATGCAATGCAAAGAAGAATGAAAAAAAGACACAAACAACAGAAAATAGATAAGTTAGTGCACACAAATAAAAGAAAAGAAATTAGTTAGTACTTGTAAAATAATTGATACGGGTAAAAATGTTATTCAGATATAAATATAACACCTACCCCGTCATGATATCTACCCGAACATGCTTTCAATAGATAGCAATCCTACCCGGACATGCTTTCTACCCACAATTATCTATTTTCAAGAAATTAGTCCTAACCGCATGATATCTAGTTCGCATGCTTTTATTCGAAAAGAAAATAAATTCTACGAACTTAGCAAAATATAAGGGTTTAGAAACGCTCCTCCTTGGTGTACACTTAGTTTGGGTACCTACTGACGGACATAGGTTCGATATAGCTATACCTAGGGTGACCGTTCTACGGTTCACTATATGCATGGTTTTGGCTCTAACTGGAAAAAGGGACTCGAATTGTCCTTGATGTCGGTGCCCCATTGGGCTGCCAAACCCTCTATCCTCACCCATTACAGGTTTCAAACGGAACGAGTTCAATTCGAGGGGATTCAATGTCTTATACCCATACGAGGAATAAATCCCTACGAAGGTATAAGATATGTATCCCATGGGTTATTTGCTAAAACTCATACGAAGAATAAATTCTTACGAGAGTAAAGCATTCACCCCAACTAATTTGGATCGAACCTTCGACCCAAAAGGAAAACGAAACAAGGAAAAATGATAAAATCCTGACAAAGCTGAAAGCCAAAAATAAAATGTTAGTACGACAAAAAAACGAAGCAATTAAAAATTTCAATAAACGGATCATTAATTAACTAAAAACTAGAAATCATAATTTCCACCAAGATGACAATATGTAAACGACATACAGCCTGACTCTCTAAAAAAAGTCCCCAGTGGAGTCGCCAAGCTGTCATAACCATTTTTTTTAGGTAAAACAATTAAATATTATTTTTAAAAAAAGATTATGACTTTAATTTGAAAAGAAATCGGGGAATTTGGATTAATTTGAATAAAATAGAAAAGGGAGTCGCCATCGACCTTTGGGTTAGGTAGGTCGAATACCTAAAAACGTCTTTTAAAACAATTTTAAGAAAAATCATTTTTTAGACAAAATTCGGTATGCGTTACCAAAGATTCATTTAAATGGATTCGGGAGTCGGTTACGTGTGGGGAAAGGTAAATACCCCCACAACGCCCAAAATTGGTACTGTGTCGCTTACAAGTTGTCGTAAAATTGTGGAAATTACAAAACGAATATAAAGTTAAAATATGATCCGTTTATTGAACATTTATTAATTTGTTTCGAATCAATTAATTAGAGAAAATTTTTTAATTCGAAAAGAAATCTCGAAATTAACAATCCTCCATTGGAAAAGCTAATTCGTCTATTTCTTATCAATAAAAGAATATTCCCTCAATCGATAAAATACGGGTCAAATATAAAATGAATATTGACAATACAAAAAAATAAAATACATAACTTGCATTGATCAATATAAAATAAAAATGAATTAACAATTAACAAACTAAAATTGATTTATTTCAAGTTCCATTTAGTTTGAACGTCGTATTAGATTGTACCACTTCGATCAAGTGATACTTTCTACGCCCGTTCTACAAATTCGCGTTCTTCAAACTATTCAGATAACATTAACAGTTAAAGAAATGGAATAAAATACAAAATAAAACATACACCACAAATAAAGTTAAACATATTTATTTACATATGATATAAATAAATGCATAACATAAAAAAATGTAGATACGATTGACATAAATACAAATCAATATTACAATCACCAAATATAATAATCAAAAAGTAAATAATAAAATTACAAGGACTAACATGATAAATAAAAACAGAGAAAATCAGAAATAATAATTACAGACACTAAAAATAAAAATAACCCCAAACGAAATTTAGGACTAAAATGCAATAAAACATAAACATGAAGGCCGAATAATAATTAAATCTAAATACAACAATGACTAAAATAAAATACATACGAATGTCAAGACCAGATTCGAATACCACAGAAAAATATACAATGAACTAAAATAGTGACTAAAATGAACCTAAAAGAAAATTTAAGCCTAAATCAAACATTAACCCAATCGAACCCACAAGCCAACATAAAGGACCGAAATGAAAAGGAAGCAAAACAGATGACCAAAATCATAAACCTCATCTAAAATAAAAACTAAGAACAAAGATGGACTAAAATAGAAGGCAACCCAGTTTAAAGACTAAAACATAAATGTTAATAAATTCCATTAATATACATACAATGATCAAAATAAAATTAATCACAAATCAATAAACCTGAATAGGCATAAAACCAAACTAACATTACAGAAAATTTAAGGACTGAAATACACATTTCACAAGTTCCAGGCCTGATATATAAAAATTATCATAAACATCAACACATATGTTAGGACGAAAATATAACAAGAAATAAAACGGAGACTCAAATAGAAAAACTGAAACCTAAAAGACTAAATAGGAATTAAACCATACACAAGCCAATGGCTAAAATAATATATTTACAAATATAGTGACCAATGTCAAATATTAACAAAAATAGCTTAACAAATAATAAAAAGGACTAAAATATAAATAAGGAAACATCAGAATCTGAAATCAAATAAATGAAACTTCATTTAATGGCTACATCAGAACGTTACAAATACACGGGGACCTATAGTGCGATTTACCCTAAAAATATGAGAAACACGGGGAAGATTATGAACATATGGGGACCAAATGGGCTATTTACCCTTTCATGCTGAAACACGCATACCCTGACCCCCCAAACGGCGTCGTTCCAACTGGGAAATAAAAGCCCAAAACATGAGCTAAACCTCTCATCTCCCTCATTTCCCACTTGCCCCAGAAACAAAAAGAGAGAGAGGGAGAAAACTCTCTCAAATCTCTCTCTGGAGAAGAGGAACACGCCGCCGCCGGTGGAGCTCTCGGCGGAGCTCACGGCGGCCCACGACGGCAGGAGAGAGAAAACCACCCTCAAAATGATCCCCTGTTCATACCCATGTCGAAAACCGAACTCCTTTAGTCTAAAACCCTCCCCAAAGACCTAGATCTAGGTTATACCTTTCGAATAAATGAGGAAAACCGGCGACTCTCGAACTTCCAATGCCAAACCGAGGTAAGAAAATCGCTCCTCTTCTTCCTTTCTTTCTTTTGTGTGGTTCTAATCTCGGTAGTCTCTTTGTTTTTTTTTTCCTCAAATGTTTTTTTTTCTGTAAACCCGAATCTTCTCCCCCTCTTTTTCTTTTCGTTCTCTCCCCTCTTCATAATGGTTGCATGTTGGATTTAAGGGTTCTTTCGGTGATAATGATATCTAAGGCTTATGGAAATTATGGGTTGTTGATTTAGGGTGATTGAATCCCGGATTTTCGGGATTATAGGGATTTTTTTATTTAGGGTTTTGATTTGGAACTGATGGGGTTACTGTTTGATTGATTTTTCAATGTAGATGGCGATGGTGGCGCGGGAACGGTGGCTGGACCATCGGAGTGGGCCGGAACAGTAATGGCGGTAGCTGTTCATCTGCTGTTGGCGGCGGCGGCTGGATGATGATATGTTTAGGGTTTAAAACCCTAATTGCTTGGGTACTTGTGGGCCTGAACCGGGTCTGGGCTCCAGCTTGTTGGGCTTGATGTACTGATGGGCTTAATAGCCTGCAACAAAAATGTAAAATTTGTAAATTAATAATAATAATAGTAATAATAATAATATAACGATAATAATAATAATATTAAAAAAAAAGACCCGGACAAAAACGGGTGTCTACACGATCAAGCAAGGGGGTGTCCAAGTTAGGAACAATAAGGTCGGCTGCCTACGCATTGAATGCATATATTACGTATCTTTCATCTGCATTCGTTTGTTGATTTTTTTATATTCTGTTTCTTCAGCAACAAGGGTACTGTTTCGGTTTTGTTGAATTTCTCTCGGTGAGCTCCATGAATGATGCGATTCAGGTACGACCTCTGTTTGATATACGTTGATGGATTGTTTCAAGTTCATCGGTTTCTCCGCGCTATACTTTTTACTTGGGTTACATATACAAATTTGGTAGGTATGGGTATTACCCCCTAGAAACCTACAAAATACCGGTGTGTTCGATACATATCCGTTATTTTGTAGGTATCTAGATGGTTAATGGAGCATTATCAACACCATTATATGCACGAACATAGTTTTATGATCATCTTTTGTGTCCGAAACTCTGTTCGATACACATGTTAGGTCATTGGGCATATTGAGTAATGAACTTTTACCATTCAGGCTTCACCGATTTCAATCGGAGGGCGTCAAGCTGTCGTCGAGATAAAGAGAACTTCAACTAGAGGTACAAAAAATAGTGCGCGTATAACTTGTTTTTGGAAACCTATCCGGCCTATCTGATGCTGCCATTACTTTGCAGTTGTTAATGGAAGAGGTAGTTTCCCTTCCCGAAGAGGAACGTTTCGAAACGACAGCTTCAGGGGACGAAACTACAGTGGTAACCGAAGCTTTGGATGAAATGAATATGGAAACCAAGTCGAATTCTCCGGTCGACCTAGGGGGGGTTCGGCAGGGCGTGATGGGAGAGGAAGAGGGAGAGGTAACCTTTCAAGTCGTCCGAACCAGAACTCGGCTTCTACTTGAAACTCCCGTAAGAGTAAGCTCATTTTTATGCGGAAAAATTGATCGAGAAGTCGGAGCTAGTGACGTTCGTAGCGATTCGAGTTTGACAAAGGAATTGGAAGGGTTGGATTGGATTGAATGTTAATATGAGAGGACCTTAGAGAATTTTAGAGAATTTTGTGTAGGAAGGTGTTACCATTACAAAATCACACACACACACACACACATATATATATATATATATATATATATATATATATTGGGTATAATCTTCGGTATTTAAATTATTGATCAATAAATCTAAATAAGGTATATTATAGAGATTTATTACGAAAATGATCCTTGTAAACCTATTTTTTATTTATAACGTCAAAATTTGAACTTTTATCTTCGAACTAGTAAAATTTCATTTCATTTAATTGACTTAACGTCTCGGTTTTAAATTTAGATTATTGATCACTCAAGAAATCGATTAATTTGTTATCTTTTAATTTTGAAAGGGAGGAAAGAACAATTATTCATATTATTAAACAATATAATTGTGTGTAAATTGAACGTTTAGTATTTAAATTATTAGTTTTGATTCGTTTTATTATTTAAAGTTTTATTTTTTTTTTAAAAAATGATGCTTAAAGTTTAGTTTTTGTTTTATTTTAATATCTCGTTTAAAATTTAATGTTAAGTTTTGAAAAAAAAATCAAAAGATGATGTACTAAAATGGATCAAAACTAATAGTTTAGGTACTAAATGTATTAAATTTTTAACAGCAATATACTAAAATGAAACAAAAATTAAACATTATGTATAATTTTAAAATTTTAAAAGTTTAAGTATTAAAACGGACCAAAACTGATAGTCTAGATACTAAATGTGTAGTTTACACTAAATTTTTTCAAAGTTTAACGTTAAATTTTCAATGAGTACTAAAATGAAATAAAAACTAAATTTTTTAACAACGAGTATTAAAATGAAACAAAATTTAAATTTATTTATTATTTAAAAAAATTAAAAGTTTAATGATGTGAACACACCGACACCAGATTCAGATACTATGCCACAAGGACCAATCACAAGATCTAAGGCTAAACAATTGTAACCCTATAGTATTTAGATACTAAAATATATCAAAACTAATAATTTATGTACTAAACTCATAATTTACCTATTAGTAATCTTATGATTTCAAATCCTTAACCTAAGTTATCTTATGACACGTTTCAGACAAAAACTTCAGAAAGAAGGAACGTACGATCGGAAATCTGCAACACGAACCCCGAGGTTGTCTATCCACGTGTCCTTTCCCCTTACTCGTTATCATCATTCATCATAAAAAAGGTCTTATCCTCTTATACTCCTTCTATTTTTACTATTTTTCATTTATGTCCATTTTCTTTGTTTCTTTTTGCATTGTACACCCTGTAAGCTTGTCTTTCATAAAATTTATATTATGTTACAAAAAAAAAGATTTTTAAGTTATGTTTTGTTTAATAACTTGAATGAAAAATAAAAAAGTTTTAATTTAAAAAAAAAGTTTAGACAGAGAGATTGTATAAACAATGATGAATCGAAGAGGAGATAAATAAATATGATCCTCTTAAAATTTCAAAATTTCATGTATTCTAAGTATTTTTTTTATATTTTTATTGATAATCCATTTTTGAGCCCTTAAAATTTTATAAATTCATACTTCAGTAAAATTTTAGGCATATATTATAAATAAAATCTAAAGTATATTTTTTTCATCTAAGTACTTAAAGTATTTTTTATTCAAAAAAGTACCTAAACTTATTTTTTTTGTCAAAAATAGGTCCCTAATACGTACATAAAATATTCAATTTTTTTTATCTAAATTCTTTTACTTAAAAAATTGACATGTGATATTAATTAAGTAATATTAAGGTGCTTAGATGAAAAAAAAAGAATATTTTAAGTACCTATTTTGACTAAAAAAATCTTTAGGTACCTATTTTATTAAAAAAAGATAAGTTTATATCTTTATTTTAACCAAAAAAATACTTTAGATACTTAAATAAAATATGATATACTTTAGGTATTATGAACATCCCTTTACTGAAGGACTCGAATACAAAGAAAAAAGGTTATGGGAAGTAAATGAAAATTATGAAAAGATAAAAAGGTAATGGCAGATATTTATCTTTTTTTCATTTGCTTTATCCAAAGACACGTGGCTTTAACAATGACAATCATCATAAATTTTCGACACGTGCCGACATCTGAGGTATTTTTTGTTCTTTTGTTCCAGAGTCTTGTTGGGAGCTCTTCATGTCCGACACGTGTCTTATTTGAATGACTTGCGTTTCAATGGCTTTATTGTCATTTTTAAAATGATTAAATTACAAGCGTGTTGACTCAATTTACTATCTCTCCTATTTTACTTCATATACTTTTAGTCTTTTTAATTTCGTCATTAAACTTAATAGATTGAATTTTTCTGGTCACTCAGTCATTTTCTCACTCACATAATTATAAATGAGATTTATTTAGATATAAAACGTGAAAATTTTGTTTTTTAAAACAACATCATTAGCTATTTAATGGCATAGTGACAAAAAAATCAATATATTAAATTCAGTATGAAAATTGAAAACTTTTAAAGTTTGATGATCTAAATAGGAGAGATTGTAAAGATTAGTGATAAACTTTGTAAATTACTCTTTTAGAATTTATCTTCACCTTTTCTCTTTTCCTCCATCGTTTTCCCTTCACTTTCCTCATTGTTCTTTTCTTCTCCGTTTGTTCGAATGGGAAGAAGAAAAAAAACTTTTGAGTTTGGGGTCAAAATGGAATCTTTGAAGCTTTGATTTCATTAATCAATCCTTTTTGTTTCCTTTTTTTTTCAAAACGATTTTATTTTTTGTTTCTTTTCTTTTTTTGGTTCTTCAATGGAAACAAAAGCTGGGGAAATTGGAAAGAAACGAGCCATGCAAATGGTGAATCTCCCGAGGTACGAAAATGGTGAAGAAGAGATTGAGTTGAGCTTAGGACTTTCAATGAACGGTCGTTTTGGGGTCGACCCAAGATCCAAGAAGCTCAGCAGATCATCTTCGATACCCGATTTCATCAACAACTCAACCGATGAACCTTCTTCTCCATCTCTGTTTCTCATGGCGGCTTGTGGTGGGTCACTTTCTAGGACATGTTCTTTGCCTGTCGAGACAGCGGAAGAGTGGAGAAGAAGGAAGGAGTTACAGTCTTCGTCGAGACTTGAAGCCAAGAGGAAGAGGTGTGAGAAACAGAAGAATTTGAGGGCTTTGAAAGATAGGAAAATGGAGGGTTTTGTTGTTGAAGAAGAAGAAGATAAGAGAGAAGAGGGTTCAATTGGATCCCATGGAAGTGGCTCATCTGGCTTATGTGAACTTGAAAGCCAACCCCCTCAAGGTCATCAATTCATTTTCTCCCATTTTTACATCTTGATTTTGATCCAATTAACATGTTTGAATTCATATTGGTCTAGATTTTGGTTGTTCTTTTAGATGCTAGCTTTCCATAAGATGAATGATCATGTTGCATTGCTGTTGAATTACATTTGTGCTTTAGCTGAGCCAAGGATACCCTAGCTTCGAGTTCGATCCGACGATAAACAACCGAGAACGATATCGGGACATTAGTTTGAGTTTATCTGTGTTATACAAGAGAAATCCATGAGACATGTTTTAGTATCCATTTTACTGGTGCATAGTTTAGCTACCAAGATGATAAGTAGCTCTAGGCTTGTGTCTGAAGTCTGTCGATACGCAGCTGACTTTCCGGTGTCGGATATGCCTAGTTTTTCGTCCTCCTAGGTGCAAGATCGACCGACTCGAGGATACCGGCATATGAATATCTATTGTTCATAGTTGAGGGGATGAAATGCAGCTATGATATCTTAATTTCATCTTCTAATGCCCCTTGGATACCTACATTTTCTAGTTGAGGGGATGAAGTAGTGCAGCTATGATATCTTAATTTCATCTGCTAATTCCCCTTGGATACCTACATTTTTCTAGTTGAGGGAATGAATTGCAGTTGTTTCGAACGAAAAACGGATCTCGGCAATTTTGTTATAATTCAGCTCTTCTGAAAATTGATAAATACGCAGGAAACGGGATGTTTATGCTGTGCGTTAACCTCTGGTAAGTTGTTGTTGATGACCTACAATGTCGAAACCATCTTGTATCAACGACACAGTTTGTCGTTTTCGTTTGTATCTCGATTTTTTTGCATTTAGCTTTGAACTCATAGATACATGGCCATCGAGTTACAGGAACTTATAAATGCCCTGGATCGGGAAGCCCTACCAGCGCACAATCTGCAATGCAGACCGAGCAGAAACCGAACATCATCCCTGGAAAGATCACAACTCAGAAATCCGAAAACCTAGCCGGAATTGCCGCAAAGAATCAACATAACCAACCCGCTGTCGATAAAAAGAGTGTCGAGCCAACCATAAGGAACATTATGGAAGATATGCCTTGTGTGTCGACAACAGGGGACGGCCCCAATGGGAAGAGAATAGAAGGGTTTCTATACAGATATAGAAAAGGTGACGAAGTGAGAATAGTATGTGTCTGCCATGGCAGCTTCCTTTCACCGGCCGAGTTCGTCAAGCATGCTGGCGGCGATGACGTCGAACATCCATTAAAGCATATAGTTGTTAGCCCCTCTTCTAAATACTGAAAGAAAGGATTCAATGGATGAATTTGCTGGCTTATTAACATTTCAGAATCTCTTTTTCTTTCATTTTCATCTGGAAATCTGGACTAGGGTTATTGACAATCTTATTAAATGAAAGCTTCTCTTTCAGAGATTATGATGGATATCATTTCCTAGTTGTTAGCCGAAATCTTGGTTTTTAAAGGCGTAAGACGCACCGAAGTGCAAAAGGTCCCTAGAGTCTAGGCGCAAAGCGTAGGCGGGCGCCTTTGTATGTGAGGCGCACTATTTATATTATATGTAAATATAATAAATAATTTTAATTTCAAAGTAAATTAATGAAATATCCTATTATTTTATTTAAGAAAATATATAAATTCTGATTTAGTTAATATTTTATATTTTTTATTATAAATAATAAGTTATACTGATTTTTTTAAAGTTAATATGAGTATATTAATGGCAAAATTTTCGAGATAATGTTCTGAAAGAAATTAATTCACGAGCTAATGCACTCCCAAGATTAATTGCTCAAATAAGGTGAAATTCACAGTGTTGGCCGTAGGTCGCTATGTCTTCCCGGCGACCTACAAGAGATTGCATGTTCCATGCACGTCCTAACATGCTGGGTATTCGAGGCCATCGATCGAGCCATCCGAAAGCATCCGAGGCCATCCGAGAGCATCCGAGGCCATCCGACCGAGGCCATCCGAACGAGCTATGCGAGGGCAACCGAGCGAGCTATGCGAGGGAATCTGAGGGAAACCGAGCGAGGGTAGGTCGTCGTCGCCATGCACTCCGGGCGACCTACCCTCGCTCGGTTGCCCTCGGATTCCCTCGCATAGCTCGCTCGGTTGCCCTCGGATGCCCTGGCATAGCTCGTTCGGATGGCCTCGGTCGGATGCTTTCGGATGCTCTCGGATGCTTTCGGATGGCCTCGGTCGGATGGCATCGGATGCCCAGCGTGTTGGGACGTGCATGGCACATGCAATCTCTTGTAGCTCGCCGGGAAGACATGGCGACCTACGACCAACACTGTGGATTTCATCTTATTTGAGCAATTAATCTTAGGAGTGCTTTATCTCGTGAATTAATTTTTTCCAGAACATTATCTCGAAAGTTTTGTCATATATTAATAAAAGTTTAAAAGAAAATATTAGCGTAAATAAATTTGTTTTGAAAAAAGAAAAGAGTGGGGAAAGTTTTGATGAGGTGTTGTCTACACAAATTAACAAAGAATAAAAAACAACGGGAGACACTTATCGAAAGGCGAGGGAAATCAGCGATAGGCGGTGGCATTATTCTATTTATATTTTAATTTCATTTTAAATTATATTAGAATATAACAACAACAACAAAATGAGGGATAGGCGGTGACATTATCCTATTTACTCTATCGATCTATTATTTTATAGGTTAACTTTATTTTTTTATTATTCGAGCAAAAGAACTATCTGGTTGGTGGTACTATCCTAGTTACGAAGGAAACTGAAAATAATTTTTCATCGGGAGAAGGTGGCAGAACAGAGCAAACAAAATAGAAGGAACAATCGAGGAGGAGAGAAGGAAAACTACTTGGTCGGTAGTGGCTGCTGCGAACGGCAGGTGAAGAAGAAAATCACGGTAGTGGAGAAGAGAGACGTGCAATGGAGAAAAAATATTAGGGATTATGTTTGACGATTGTATTGTATCGTGACTTTTTGTATCTCGCCTCACCTCAACCCAGGCGGGCACCATCTTCAGCGCTTGACTACGCCTCGCGCCTAGGCGCGTCTTTTAAAACCAAAACCGAAATACCACTCCCAGAATATGATATTAAAATTTAAACAAATACGAATCAAATATAAACACTTCAAAAGAATATCAGACACAATCATATTCGTTCAAGCTCCGGACACATCACCCGCCACCGCCAGAATGTGTGTAATATAAATGAGCTATTCTATTCTATTATTAGAAATCAAATGAAACTTACAAGTTTAGAACTTGGACTAAGAAGAAAAATATATGTACTCATCAGCAGTCATCAGTGAACCCCTTTCATCCGCGTAATAGCATCGAAAAATTGGGGTAAAACTGTATTAAAATTTACAAATGGGCAATACCTACACAGTTTAGAACTCTACCTAACCTAAGGATCGATCGAGCCGTGGGGCTTACCTCCTACGAGCACTGTGTTAATCGACACAAGTTTTTTAACATGAACCTAACAGGATGGTGGCTCAAGTTGCTTCAGCCGTCGTACTACTTGATTCATCGTAGGTCTAGTCGAGAGAGAATCGACGGTACACACGACCGCCAAGTGCAGAACTTCTACCAAGTCATTTTGGGAACCTGCATCCCATAAACCTGCTGTGAAGAACTCCTTGGCCTGGCCTTGTCTTAAGAGCATGCAGGACCATTGAACGATGTTGAAACCGTTTCCGTACTGAGAAAATGAGGGATCTAAAGCTTTCTTATCAGAGAGCAACTCAAGAAGAACCACCCCGTAACTGTAAACATCGGCCTTATCAGAAACACGGCAAGTCATTGCATATTCGGGAGCAACATACCCGAAAGTTCCAGCAACACCAGTGGTAGCATGGGTTTCTGAAGTTCCCAAAAGTCTGGCCAAACCAAAGTCCGATAAATAAGCATTGTAATCATTGTCCAACAAGATATTGCTCGGTTTGACATCACGATGGAGGATTCGCGGAACACATATATCGTGTAGGTAGGCAAGAGCACGGGCTATGTCCAAAGCAATCTTGTGAAGTACCCTCCAATCCACAGCTCTCGTGGACCTCTCCTGAATAAACTTTTCCAAGTTACCGCCGGGCAAATAATTGTATATAAGGATCGTCTCCGTTTCACTGGCATGGTAACCAATTAAAGTGACAAGATTCGGGTGGCGCAACCTCCCGAGGATTTTAATTTCAGCATCAAACTGTTGGAAGCCTTGCAACCGTCCGATAGCAAGCCGCTTTATTGCCACTAAAACTCCAGGCGAGATCTCAGCTTTATAAGTTGACCCAAAGCCTCCATTTCCAATACAGTTGCTAGCATTGAAATTCCCAGTGGCCTGCACAACAATGTCGAATGTCAAAGGGACCTCAATCTCGGTGAAAATAGTCACTTCTTTTTTGGTGGTGCTGATCTTGGATCTTGAATTCCATTTCCTCGTAAAAAGGAACAAAATAACAAGTGCCAGAAGAACGGAAACAATAACTGAAGCGGATGTTATGGACGCTATCTCAATGGAACGGAAACCATTAGTTATATTCTTTCGAGTTGCAGGTTCTGGTGAAGATGCAACGTTATTTTGTGAATCACCCGCTCTTGCTTGGTCCGAAGATGGAATTAAGGAATATGAACGGCAAGGCTGTAGAAGAGGGTTTCCGAAAAGACCGCTGCATTTCATCAAATTATTGCTCGATGGCAGTGGCCCGGACAAATTATTGAAGGACACGTTGAAAGAAGAAAGCATAGTCGCATTTGCTAAACCAGAGGGAATTTTCCCGGAGAGTTTGTTGTTGTTGAGCAAAAGAACTGTCATGTTTCTCAAGTTAGCCAGACTTTCAGGAATTTCACCAGAAAGAGAATTTGACGACAGCTCCAGCTTTTCTAAAGATCGCAACTGCCCGAGTGTGGAAGGAATGGATCTGGTCAGATTGTTACCGGACAAAGAAAGAAACCTGAGATCCTCCATCTGCCCGAAACTGCTCGGAATCTGGCCTTGTAACAGGTTCCAGCTCAAATTAAGAGAAACAAGTGAAACCAAGTCTCCAATGCTCGGGGGAACCAGCTCAGTTATTTGATTCATAGACACATCCAGAAACTTGAGAGATTTGCAAAGTTTACTGATTTCATCAGGAATCCGACCAGAAACTCGGTTGTAGCTGACATTTACAAACAGTGCACCCAATCCATTGCAGTTCTCAAGCAAATTTCCAGGAAATGGTCCACTTAGAATGTTTTCTCCGGCATAAAATGCATAAGAAATGTGTTTGTCCAATCTCTGTGGCGCGATAGGCATTGACACGACACTGCCAGAGAAGTTGTTAGCTCTGAAGTTGTGAAACACAGCAGGACCAGCCTCTCCGCCGAGAAATCCTCTAGATGTTCCGGCATGAACTTTACTAGCCAGAAATGATAAATACGCGGACGTTGGGTTGAAGGGTTCAGAGGAATATGAATTTGAGGTAAGAACATCAGGGCATCCCTGGTTTTCGAATCTTGGGATATAACCCGACAAGGAATTTTCACTGACGTCGAAGACACTCATACAAGGAACTGCAAGTTTCTCAACAAGCTCTCCGGTAAGGCGCTTATTTGAGCTTAAGTCAAGGTACCTCATCTTCTTGCAGACAGCAAGACCAATCAGAATTTTCCCGGAAAAAAAATTCTGCGCCAAATTTACCATCTCCAAGCTATCACAAGAACCCCAATCACTTGGCAAGTTTCCCTCCAGCGTTGCTCTAGGAGCCCATAATACCCTCAGCTTTGAAAGCTTTGTAATTTCATCTGGAATCCCACCTTGATAAAAATTAAAATCGTCGTTTACATAGTTTGCATCCTCTTTAATCATGGCAAGGTTATCGTACGGGTTCAACATGTTTGAAAGCACAAGCACAGTCAAAGCAGAACAATTCCCGAGCTCAACAGGTATCGGACCACTCAAACTATTCCTCGAAACATCCAACACTTCCAGATTCTGAAGCTGACCAATTTCGTCCGGAATGCCTTCCTCAAACATATTGGTATATAACAACAACGACCTCAACTGATTACACTTCCCCAAACTAGCGGGAATCGGTCCGACAAAGTAGTTCCCCGACAAATCCAAATGCTCAAGCCTACAATCATCACCAATATCAGCCGGCAATGGCCCCCCTAACCACGTAAACGACAAATAAACACCTCTAAACCTCCCGACAAATGCAGGAACGGTTCCGTTCACAAGAGTACCGGCCAAGTTCAACATTTCTATTCGCTTCAAACTCGAAAGCCAACCAGGTATCCCTCCACTAATACTATTAAACCCCAAATTAAGAACTCTCAAATTCTTTAACCCTGAAACGGCGACGGGTATCTTCCCGGATAACAAACTGTTCTCTAAATCAAGCACTTCCAATTTCTCCAAACCCCAAACTCCAGAAGGAATTTCACCATGAAACCTATGGAAGGGGAGTGATAAAACCCTAAGTTCATTCAATTTCCCAATGGAATTCGACAAACTTCCAAACAAACTCCATTTACTTCCCCCACAGTTCCTTCTAATACCAAAACCATAAAGCGGAAATGAACTGAAATCAGAACAAGAAAATGAAGCAGAAACAGCTGAATTGTTGAGACTAATACCTTTTGGACCGTTCCCAAAACCAGTTATGTTAAGAGACAGAACCTTGGAATTCTTATCACACGTAACACCAGACCATGAACAGTGATGGGAATTCTCGGACCAAGTGGATAAAAGCCCCGAAGGATCCGAGACAGACTCCTTAAACTCAAGAAGAACAGCATTGTCCGAAGAATCATCACCCAAAACGACGCAGCTTAATACGCCGAAGAGTAGGAGAAATGGCTGCCACTCCATAGCTGAAGCTGAAAACCAACCCATCTTTCTAAATGAAGTTCAAAGGATACTCCAAAGTGGCTTCTTTTTTAGGGGTTTTCAACAATAATTTGAAGATGCAAATCTGGGTTTTTTGTCCTTTTAAAACCCTAACCCTAATTTTTCGGGTTGTTTGGGGAGAGTGAAAATTCAGCACTGACTGAAGCCTTTACTTCCTTTTTCTTCCTGATTTCGTCTCTCTGTTTTCCAGAAGTTTCTTTTGTTTTAGTCATGGGAAAATTATAGAGAGGATACAAAACTTTTTTTATTTTAGTAAATGTCCCGAACTTTAATTAAAATTTCGATTCAGTCCTAATCTTTTGCATTAACCCATTAGAAAGTGTCCTTTTTGTGACATAATATATAAAAATCTTCTTAAATACATATTTAATTTTACTGTTTATTTTGAATTATGAAATTATATGTTTTTAGAAGAAAAAATATTTTTCTATACAGTACCAATATGATCCATGGTGATGGATGATTGAACCATCAATAATTTTTATTTTGTATATTTAAAATATTTATGGTTTAATCTACACTTAGATATAAATAATATATTAAATAGGGTAAACCACATCAGATACCATGAAACTTTAGGCGTTGTAACGTTTATACCACTGAACTTTTAATTTTTTCAATTATAATATTGAACTTTGATTTTCGTTACAATTATACCACTGAACCGTTAAATCGTTAACGGCATGATGATGAGGTTGACGACTATCAACGTGGCTGAAAACTACCAACATAGACAACTCACCAAAATGACGTAGTTTTGATCCGGCTATTAATGATTTAACGGCCCAGTGGTATAATTGAAACGAAAATCAAAGTTCAGTGTTATAATTAGCAAAATTGAAAGTTAAGTGATATAAATGATATAACGCCTAAAGTTCGATAGTATCTAGTGTAGTTTACCCTATTAAATAATATAACACAACATGAATACATAAATGTGACAAAATTCATATATAAATAATATATTAAATTTTAAATGAGGAATACACAAGTAATTGAAAAATGGTCAAGGACCAAAAATAGGTTTATCTTATTGTTAATAAATAAAGTTAACTTTAGTATAAAGTATTAATTATTGGAATCAATAAACCAAGAAAAGAAAAGAGGACTATAAAGGGAATATACCAAAAGCTTAAGAGCACATATGTTAATTGCATTTAGTACCTAAACTAAAATTTCAATTTATTTCAAAACTATAATTATCGTTTAGTTTTCATTTTATTTTAGTACCCTGCTATTAAAAATTTAACGCGTTTAATACTTAAATTATTAATTTTGGTTCGTTTTAGTAAATAAACTTTCATTTTTTCCCAAAACTTAACGTTAAACAGGTACTAAAATGAAACAAAAATTAAAGTTTTTAACGATAAAATATTAAGATGAAATAAAAATTAAACTTTAGGTATAATTTTTGAAAAGATCTAAAATTTATGTAATAAAACAAACTAAAATTTATAATTTAAATAATAATCACTAGTTTACTCATTAGAAAATTCCATGCTACTTATCTTCGAAACCTAAATTTTGTGCTAAAACAGCATATATCATCTTCTTCCTCAAGATTTTGAACTTATTTCACCTAAGAGAAAATGCCTAGCTTTGCAGGCAATGATTTTTCAATGGAGAAAAAGCTTTTCATCAATGGTTTCCCCATTTAAGGTTATCTTTTAATCTGTGACTGTACTTTTCAAAAATCTTCATGAATTTCAGAAGCTAGAAGAAACTCCCAACAACAAAAAGAAAACAACAATGAAAGAAGGTTTGGGTCTTGATTATTTTTTCACATTTCTCATCTCAAAAGCCATTAAAAGCAAGAACTTGAGTCTAGGCTTGCTTTTACATTCACAGTTCATCAAAAAGGCTCTGACTCTTAGACCCTTTATAACCAACCATCTTATAGCCATGTACTCAAAATTCAATGAAACAAAAAGTGCCCAAAGGGCTTTTGATGAACTTGTGGTGAAAAACAGCTATTCTTGGAACATTCTTATCTCTGGGTATGTGCAACGTGGCCACTTTGATAGGGCTTGCAAGTTGTTCGATCAAATGCCGAGTAGAAACCTTGTTAGTTATAATTCACTGATTTATGGGTTTTCCCAGCACGGGTTTTACAAGGAATCAGTACTCATGTTCCTGAAAATGCTAAAGGATTGTATGGTTATTGATAGTTGTACGGTTGTTGGTATTGTTGGTGCTTGTGCTAGATTAGGTGCTCTAAGATTTTTATGTCAAGTTCATGGTTTTATGATTGTTTTTGGTTTGGATATGAATTTGATTGTTTACAATGCTTTGATTGATGCTTATGGGAAATGTGGGGAAGTGGATTGTGCTTATAGGATTTTCAATCGAATGAGCGAAAGGGATGTGGTTTCATGGGCTTCTATGGTGGTTGCTTATGCTAAAGCGTCCCGATTGGAGGATGCTTTTCGTGTATTTAAGGAAACGCCGATTAAGAATACATTATCTTGGACTGGTTTAATCGCTGGTTTTGCTCAAAATAGTTGTGGAAATGAGGCGTTGGATCTTTTTCGGCAGATGTTGGAGGAAGGAGTGCAGCCTAATGCTTACACATTTGTTGCCGTTTTAAGTGCTTGTGCAGATTTAGCACTTATTGAGAGAGGTAAACAGATCCATGCGCACATAGTTAGAGTTGGCAGCAGAGGTGATTTGTTGAACCTATTTGTATTTAATGCTTTAATCGACATGTACTGCAAGTGCGGAAACATGAACTCGGCTAAATTACTGTTTGAGAGGATACATGAGAAGGATGTTGTTTCATGGAACTCATTAATAACCGGGTTTGCTCAAAATGGGCATGGAGAGGACTCGCTTAATGTGTTCAGAATGATGATAGAGGAAAACGTAAGGCCCAATCACAGAACATTTATCGGGGCATTATCTGCTTGTTGTCATGCAGGTCTAATCTCTGAAGGAATGAGGATTTTAGAGTTAATGGAAAAGTATTTCGGTGTGACCCCTAGGTCTGATCATTATGCAATCTTGATCGATTTGCTTGGAAGGAAAAACAAGCTTGAGGAGGCCATGAATATGATTAAGAGAACTCCTAATGGAACGAATTGTGTTGGCATGTGGGGTTCACTTTTAGGTGCTTGTCGTGTCCATGGTAACTTAGGTTTTGCTAGGCAGGCAGCGGAGGCTCTGTTTGAACTGGAACCAAAGAATGCTGCCAGATATGTAATGTTATCGAATATCTATGCGACAGCTAGAAGATGGGATGATTCCCGAGCAGTGAAAAGGCTCATGGAGGAGAGAGGTCTAAGAAAAGAAGCTGCTTATAGTTGGATTGAGGTTAGGAATGTACGACATGAGTTTGTGGTGAAAGATGAGGGCCATTCTCAGATTGAAAAGATACACGAATTGATCATCGTGCTAGTAGATCATATGAAGGATGTTGGATACGGACCCCTGAGAGATGGTTCCTTGTTTCCTGATGAAGATGAAACTATTTGCTGCTAACTGCCCTCGAGCTACCCATTGCGTCCTTGACGCCTTTCTTCTTTATGCAAATCCCAAAATTTTGGTTTGGGGCATGCCTCCTACAGAGATTCTGAATAACCTGTGTGACTCGTGAGTGTAGCATGAAGAGGAAGCATCCGAAACTCTTAAAAACTTCGCCTTATTACCTCTTCTTTCTTTTCGGTCTTCGGGTGTCTTTACTCGGTTTATTTTTCATCAGATTTTTGCATCCAGGAGGAGACTGGCAGAACAGAAACCCATGCATGATCTACTAGGACCTGGACAAGATGAGAAGTTTGTCTCTAAAGAAGGCTCGGAAGCTAAGATAAAGGGGTGGCTCGAAAGTTGGCCCGGTAAGACCCTTCCACCGGACCCTGCAAGATTTGTGACCGTCGATGATGTGAACTCGAAACAGATGAAGATTTTGGTTCGATTCAGTGGTAAGAAAGTTTGATCGGAGTGAGGCGAGCTGTCACAAGTCTTGACAGCAGCGCTAAATACAGAGCTACCCATCTTCAAGCACTTGCTTAAGCTTTTTTCATGGATGCCATGGCATAATAGAAGCTTAGTGACAACATTAATTGCATGTTTATTGAATCTACGGTTTACTCTATTTAATTCATACAATCATTTTTAAGAGATGAATTTGCCATGTTTGGCTTAGATTGATAAAAGGGCCAATATAGGATGGAACTATGGGCAAGAACTTAGGGCTGTAAATGAATAGAGCGTTCGACGAACTGTTCGTGAAGCATTCTTATACAACAACAACAACAAAACCCTATTCCCATATGTAATGTGATAAGGGAGAGGTAGGGTAGTAGGCTGCTCCAACTCTAAGTTGAGAGCAACTTCCGTGGAAAACCTTCGGCAATTAGAAAATTAAAGCATTCTTATAATGTTCGTTTATTAAACTAAATAAACGAGTATGAACAACATTTTTTTATGTTCATTTATGTTTGTGTTTATTTATTTATTTTTGTTAAAGGAAAATGGTAAAATTACGTGATTAATCCCTAAGATTTTTAAGATTTATAGTTTGAACTCTAATGTTCACTTTGTCTTCAATTTAATCCCTATTTTCACTAATATTTAAAATGTAAAAAATAAAAAGAAAAAGAGAACTGAATAAATAAGTTGATAAATGAACCACTAAATGAGCTTTTAAATTAGTTTTTTCGTGGACAGTAATAAGTCGAAACACATCTATATTTGTGTTCGTCCATTTTTAAAACCATGCTAAATGTTTAGTTTTCATTTCATTTCAATACCTCGTCGTTAAAAACTTAACGAGTCTAGTACCTTAACTATAAGTTTTGGTCCGTTTTAGTACTTAAATTTTCAGCTTTTTCAACACTTAACGTTAAAATTAGAACAGATGTACTAAAATAAAACAAAAACTAAAGTTTTTAACGGTTGAGTATTAAAATGAAACAAAAAACTTAACTTTAGGTATGGTTTTGAAAAAAAATTAAAAATTTAGGTACTAAAAGATGAAAACCAATAGTTGAAGTACTAAACGTATAATTTACCTAAAATTTTATTTCTACTCATTTATTTTAAATGAACGATATCCAAACATTCCACGAACAGTTCAATAAACAATCTATTTATTTACACCTCTAGATTTATTTATCAAAGAAAAGGAATTAAGGGTACAATTGAAAAGAAGGCCAACGTTAAAGGTCTTTTTTAACATAATACCAATTTCTTGCGCGTGGACAAAACTAGTGGAAGCCACAAAACGTGGGGAAGTTGCAAATCTCCCACAAACAGATGCAAAAAGCTGCTAAGTAAAGCTTCGATTCCCTTCAATGAAAGCCTACCCAGACAAAATCTCCCAGTTTTCAGGTTAGTCTCTTCCTTTTTGTACTTTCCGTCCACTCAAATGGCTTTATTCTCTTTCGTCTTGTCCTGCTACAGCAAGAGCTTTCTTTCTTCTTTTGATGGCGGCTTCGTGTTTGAATCTTGTGTTTTTGTTGTGATCTGGGTCTCTAAAAATCTGGGTTTCTTGTATGTTTTCTTGTTTTGATCTTTTACGTGTTGATCACTTTCTTTTAATTTTCCATTTTTATCTATTTCTAGATTGAATTAGCTGGAACTTCTGAATAGCATTGGATTTTTCAAGCGGATGGTAGTTTAGAACTGGGGTTTACGAGGCAATTTTGGGGTTTCTGAATCAGGGCAAGTTTAGGGTTTCTTCCGGGGGTTGAACTTCCATGGGGGATTATGAACCAGTGGCTCCACAATTAGAAGGGGAGGAAAATTTGATTGCTGCTGCAGAACATATAGTGAGAGCATTGGGATCGAACAAGAATCTCACGAAAGATGTGAAGAAGATATTAGCAGATCTCGGTAGTCAATTATCGAATATGGCTACAATTGAGGATGAAGTTGTTGAGGGTGTAGAATCTGGGATCGAAGAACAGTTGAGAGTTGTCGAGGAAAAGATTATGAGTTGGGAGAGTGACGAGTCCATGATTTTTTATTCGGGCTCCAATGATGCTTCGGAGTATCTGAATGCCACCGATGAAGCTCGGAAATTGATCGACGAATTGGAGAGTCGGTGCTCGAGTGGCAAAGACGAGAGAGAGTTGTTGCGTAGGGCTCATGATGTTCTTCAGTTGGCGATGCAGAGGCTTGAGGAAGAGTTTAAGCACTTGCTTGTTCAGCATAGGCAACCGTTTGAGCCCGAGCACATGTCGTTTCGGTCGAGTGAGGATGATAGTGTCGATGTGGGGTCGCTGGTTTCGTTCGGGGATGACTCTTTTGAGGAGTCGGCAGGCAGATATAGCATCGGCCGAACATCGGAGGACTGTATCATTGACTTGGTTCATCCTGATGTGATTCATGATCTTAAATGCATTGCCAATTCGATGTTCATGTCAAGCTATGATCACGAGTGTCGACAGGCGTATGTCATTGTTCGAAAGGATGCATTGGATGAGTGCCTTTTTGATCTTGAAATCGAGAAACTGAGCATTGAAGATGTGCTGAAGATGGACTGGGGTACCTTGAATTCGAAAATCAAGAGATGGGTTCGAGCTATGAAGATATTTGTCCGGCCATTTCTCGTCAGCGAGAAATGGCTCTGTGACCAGATCTTTTTGGAGCTCGGATCGGCTAGTTCAGTTTGTTTTGTTGAGGCGGCAAAGGCTCCAATGCTGCAGCTTCTGAATTTTGCTGAGGCCATCTCTATCAGCTCTCATCAACCGGAAAAGCTAGTTCGATTTTTAGACGTGTATGAGGTGCTTGCAGATCTTCTTTCGGACATTGATGCATTGTTTTCGGATGAAGCTGGTTCTTGCATTAGAATCGAGTACCATGAGGTTTTGAAGAGATTGGCTGATTCCGTAAGGGTGACGTTTCTCGAATTCAAGAACGCTGTCGCATCGAACACTTCGGCAAACCCTTTTGCAGGAGGAGGAAATCACCCCCTGACCAGATATGTTATGAATTACATAAGGCTTCTTGTAGACTACAAAGATACCCTAAATTTACTCCTCAAGAATGACGACGGAGAAACGGCCAGGTCACCCTCTCCGGACTCGAGTCATGCTACGGAGGAAGAAAGTACGAGTAATGATTCTTCCGCCTGTCTTTCTCCAATGGCACTACATTTGCAATCACTCACTTCGGTCCTAGAAGCGAACCTCCAAGAGAAATCCAAATTATACGGGGATGCTTCATTGCAGCACTTCTTTTTGATGAACAACATCCATTACATGGTTCAAAAGGTTAAAAATTCGGAACTCCAGGCTATATTCGGAGACAAGTGGATCCGAAAGCACAACTGGAAATTCCAGCAGCACGCGATGGACTACGAGAGAGCGACCTGGAGTACCATTCTCCCGTTACTGAAAGACGAAAGCAATTCCAGCAACAGCTCGATCTCGAGGACGCTTCTCAAGGAGAGATTGAGGAGCTTTTATGTTGCTTTCGAAGACGTGTATAAAACACAGACGGCATGGGTTATCCCGGACCTTCATCTCCGAGAAGATTTACGGATTTCAACGTCCCTGAAAGTGATCCAGGCATATCGGACATTTGTCGGAAGACAAATGCAGCACATTGGTGAGAAGCACATCAGGTACAATGCTGAAGATCTGCAGGATTACTTGTTGGATCTCTTTGAGGGATCTCAAAAATCATTGCATAATCCTCATAGGAGGTGAAAACCTATGTTACTCGGATTCGGCTGTCCGTGTTAGACAGATGTGATCGGAAAACGTGTGTTACTCGAACTCGAATGTGGTTATCTAATGCAGGTTTCCTTGGAGGTCACGTTTCCATATCGGACGATGATGATCGGAACATAGTAAGTGAAATTTATGATAGCAAAGTAGCTATATGTATACACGTTTGTAATCTTTTACGTATGAAGAACATTTGTGTTGTATTTTTTGGATAAACCACGCATTTAGTACTCTAACTATCAATTTTGGTCTGTTGTAGTATCTAAATTTTCAATTTTTTCAAAATCATGCCTAACGTTTAGTTTTTGTTTCATTTTAATATCCGTCATTAAAAACTTCACGCTTTTAGAATCTAAACTATCCGTTTTGATCTGTTTTAGTACATAAACTTTCATTTTTTTAATTTAACGTTAAATTACGAAAGGATACTAAAATGAACTAAAAATTAAACTTTAGATATGGTTTTAAAAGAATTAAAAGTTTAGGTATTAAAATGGATCAAAATTAATAGTTTAGATACTAAACGCATAATTTATCCTAATTTTTTTTAACATGAGATTAATATATTATAAGGTAAATTATACCTTTAGTATTTCAATTAGAGAAAATAACCTCAGTGACCAAAAATGTCTTATAATATACGATTTTAATCAACTTTTTTTGGATTTGCCAAAATGACTAACTAAATCGCAATGCGATCGATAATTCGCAACGCGATCTCCGATATCGCAAATTAGTTTCCAGATTCGCAACGCGAACTTCGACTATTGCATTGCGATAGTCCAAGTTCGCGTTGTGATTTATTCTAAATTCGTTGCGATTTATTCCAAATTCATTGCGATAGTCCAAGTTCGCGTTGCGATTTATTCCAAGTTCATTGCGATAGTCGAAGTTCGCGTTGCGATTTATTCCAAATTCGTTGCGATTTATTCCAAATTCGTTGCGATAGTCCAACTTCGCGTTACGATTTATTCAAATTCGTTGCGATAGTCCAAAATCGCAACGACGGTATTGCATTTGTTTCTTAAGAATTTTCTCTAAAAATATAGTATTCGCGCGGACGTGTCGAAGACACGTATTACCACGACCACGAGACGAGACGGGACGGCGGCGACGCGCGAGAGTCTCCCTTGTTCTCTATCACTCAACAAGGAAGTGGGAAAGCCAAGCCTTAAATACCATTCCCAATAATGTTTCCAATACTATGTGAGATTGAGCATTACCAACACTTGTTCTCAATACTATGTGGGATTGAGCCTTAAATAGTGATATTATTTTTTAATGTTTTGCTTAAAATTGCAATAATCGCGATTGATTGTAGATTGACTTTTAATTATGACATGTTTAATCGTATAATACTAATGCAATTGGTTGCTGATTCAGTTGTTTTAAGGTGTATGATTGTTAATTGTTTCCTGAATAATCACATTGTATTGGAAACAAGTGTTGGTAATGCTCAATCCCACATAGTATTGGAAACACTATTGGGAATGGTATTTAAGGCTAGGCTTTCCCACTTCCTTGTTGAGTGATAGAGAACAAGGGAGACTCTCGCGCGCCGCCGCCGTCCGTCTTGTCTCGGGTCGTGGTCGTGGTCGTGGTCGTGGTCGTGGTCGTGGTAATACGTGTCTTCGACACGTCCGCGCAAATACTATATTTTTAGAGAAAATTCTTAAGAAACAAATGTAATACCACCAGTCGTTGCGATTTTGGACTATCGCAACGAATTTGGAATACATCGCAACGCGAACTTCGACTATCGCAACGAATTTGGAATAAATCGCAACGCGAACTTCGACTACCGCAACGAATTTGGAAAATCGCAACGCGAACTTCGACTATCGCAACACGAACTTGGAATATCGCAATGCGAATATGTAAATCGCAATGCGATAGTCGAATTTGAAAAATCACAACGCAAACTTCGACTATTGCAACGCGAACTTGGACTATCGCGTTGCAGATCTGGAAACTGATTTGCGATACCGGAGATCGCGTTGCGAATTATCGATCGCATTACGATTTAGTTGGTCATTTTGACAAATCCAAAAAAAATTTGGTTAAAATCGTATATTATAAGGCATTTTTTGTCATTGAGGTTATTTTCTCTTTCAATTATTTATTTTTTCTGCTTTAGTCTAACCGAATATATTTACAGTGCTACAGTAGAGACCAACGTTAGGATTCTTTATGCGTTTAATAAATTTCATGTAAATATTTATAAAAAAATCACTAATAAAAAACAAGCAAGAACTTAACTACAATTTTTAGATTTGGAAGGGTTTAATTGAAGCATATAGTTTTATTAAAATTTTCAAAATTGGGAAAAAATATTATGAAATTAATCATTTCAAAAAAAAATACTCCCTCTCTCTCACACACATTTTAAAAAAAAATTAATTTACTCAATTTTAAAATTAACTAGGACTTAAAAGGTGTTTTAAATTAAAATATTTAAGCTAACTAGAGTGGACATGTGCCCATCTTAAAATCTTAATTTTCTTTGGTTAATTATTTATTTTATTAATAGTGCTTAACGAGTTTCGACTCTATTTGATAGGGTCGAATTTTAAAAAAATTGAATTCAGGTTGGGCCGGATTGAATTTTTAAGGGGTGAGGTCAGGCGGGTCGGGTGGAGGATGGAGGGTGAAAAAAACTGACACTCGACCCAGAGATAATAATGTAATTTCTTAAAAAATTATTATTATTTTAATTAAATCATTATTTTATACTGAGTCGGGTCGGCTCGGATTTATACTCTAAAAATTTGGGTCAGAGTCGGAGTTGGAGTCAGAGTCAGGTGGAGGATATATATATATATATATATATATATATATATATATATATTCAAGTTGAGTCGGGTTGAATGGAGAATATATAATTTTCGAGTCGGGTTCGAGTAGATGATACATATTTACTTTTCAAATGCATAAAGATTAAAATGTCTCTTTTTATAGTGGAATGATTAAAATAATTTTTTTTATGTAATATAGGGACTTATTAAAAGTTTGGAAAAATTACAAATTTCATCGTTGAATTTTGTTCTCTCTCTTATTTTGTTCATTGAACTTTCAAAATTTTCATTTTCTTCACTGAATTTAATACATTGAGTTTTTTTAGTCATTGTACTCTATTCTATCTTCTATTTTTGTCCGTCCACCCTTAAATAGTTAACGGAGTTAAAAGCGACATAGTTTTCAAAAAAAATAAAATTCTCATTAAAATGATGTCGTTTTACATTTATATAACAACTCATTTTAACGTTGTTAACTATTTAACAACTCATTTTAACGTTGTTAACTATTTAACGACCAAGTGGCAAAAAAAGCCAATGTTTTCGGTTTTTTGGTTGTATTTTCATTTATATTTTTTCTAAGCGTTGATTTGACATCGCCACAACTGATCAAGGTGACGCTTATTTGATATCTTCTAATCTTCTTGCTTTGGACCCTCGGATTGACTTGGATATCCGATTTGCGTTCGTGGATAACTTTTCACGTCGCTCGAGTCTGATTTGCAATTTGTCGGTGGTCTCTTAATAGCTTGATCCCCTTTTGTGGTTCGTTTGCCAAAGCAATCAAATCATTTTGTATCTATCTTTGTTTGAGTTTCTTGGTTAGATTTATTTTTTTCTTGTATGGTACACATGTGGTCTTAAGTTGCTAATTTTATTTTAATAATTATAAGAAATTTTCTTAATTATTTGCTTAATTTACGATTGTGATTGTAAATTTTTATTGTAATTTGATATATTTCTTATTTTGAATAAAATTAATTGCTTATTTCAAAAAACAAAATAGAACCTAAAAGTACAGGTATTGTGTTACCTTAAGGGGGTGTTTGGATGGGGGAATGTGGGATTCCCATGGGAATGGAATCCACATTCCCCTGTTTGGTTAGCCCGGGAATCCTATTCCCGGTAATGTAAGATTACCAATAGTGGATTTTTTCGGGTATATTACCGGGAATGTCATTACCTCCCTTTCCTTAGGTATTGTTGGATTACCGGCGTTTTGGACTAAAATGCCCTTAAATTTTTATTTTTTTTCAAAAATATATTTATTCTGTCATCGAATAATAAAATTTTTACGAAGGTTAAATTACAAATTTATCCTTAAATTATTTTAGATTTACAAAAAAAAATCTATAATTAAAATTTTATATAAAGTTCAAGGGTTAAAATAAAATTTTACCCTTTCATTAATTTTTTTTATTTTTAATTTTGTAAAAAATATATAAATATTATGAATTTAATTTTTTTTTTTAAAGAAAATATATAAATATTTTCCAACTTGTAATATTACACAAATATATAATTAGGACAATTTGGTCAAATATACATTCCAATAATCTTTTATTCCTTTAACCAAACACGGTAATCTTACATTCCTGCTAAGCCAACCAAACACAAAATACAACATTCCCAGTAATGCTATTCCTTGGTAATCTTACATTCCCACTGGTAATCTTATATTCCGTGAACCAAACGCACCCTAAGGGGGTGTTTGGTTCAAGGATTGTGGGATTCCCATGGGATGGGAATCCCACATTCCCATGATTGGTTGGCCGGGAATCTCATTCCCGGTAATGTTTTATTACCAATAGTAGATTTTTTGGGGTATATTACCGAGAATGTCATTACCTCCATTCCCTTAGGTATTGTAACATTACCGACGTTTTGGACTAAAATGTCCTTAAATTTTTATTTTTTTTCAAAAATATCATTCTTCTGTCATTGAATAATAAAAATTATACAAAGGTTAAATTACAAATTTATCCTTAAATTATTTTAGATTTACAAAAAAAAATCTATAATTAAAATTTTATATGAAGTTCAGGGGTTAAAATGTTTTTTACCCGTTCATTAAACATTTTTTATATTTTTAATTTTGTAAAAAAAATTATATAAATATTATAAATTTAATTTTTTAAAGAAAATATATAAATATTTTACAATTTGTAATATTATACAAATATATAATAAGGACAATTTGGTCAAATATACATTCCAATAATCTTTTATTCTTTAACCAAACACGGTAATCTTACATTCCTGCTAAACCAACCAAACACAAAATACAACATTCCCAGTAATCCTATTATCTGGTAATCTTTTATTCCCACTGGTAATCTTATATTCCGTGAGCCAAATGCAACCTAAGGGTGTGTTTGGTTGGGGGAATGTGAGATTTCCATGGTAATGGAAT